TTTGGCAAGAAATCGCCCATTTAGCGACAAAATTGGTGATATGCCATGGACGGATGGAGAACTTCCTGGAACGAATTCTTACCGGTTTAGCCCAGAATGTTCTGGAACACAACTCGAAAACTATATAAACCCTGCTGGTCTGCAGTCAGTTAGTGTGTGTGCCTCGTCGAGAGCGAGTTAGTGTGTCTCATCTAGTTAGTCCGTGCGGAGACGATCAAGTTGACAGCCGGCCAGGGAGTGCTGAGTGGGTCGTCGAGTGCATCGAAGAGTCTCTTATTTATGCGTTCGCTCGTCGAGAGAGGTGTGTTTAACTCCGGGAACGCAGACTGAGATTCGGGAGCTGTGCTCTGTGTGTAGTCGAGTGCACGCGAGAGAGTCTTGTGAGTACGTGGATTCAGAAAGCCCGAGCGAGTCGGGAGCTGTACTCTGGTGCTTTGCAGTGAAGCTGTTTCCACCGTATTGCCTGAGAGTGTGAAGGCTGTGTCGCTGATTGTTCCGGCCTTTTATATAGATCTTCGACGACTGTAAAAGTGTTTTGGAGCGGTAAATAAAGGTGTTCGGTACTTACAAGTTTCTAGTTATTCACTCAAATCCGCACGAACCCCGTAACGTACGAACGTGAAGGAAGAAAATAACGTAACAACTGGTGTTAGAAAAGAAAAACGCAACAACTGCTGTCGGAAGTGTAATTTGTTACTGAATGCGAGTGACCCGCCTGCAGAGGAAAGCCATGGCGGAGGAGATGAAAGGTTTGATGGACATTTTAGCCGAGATAAAAGCCGGCAGTGGCGTAGCTAGGGTGGTGCAAGGGCTGACACCTCTCCCCGGGCGTAACATCCAAGGGGCGCCAAATTGATGCTACGAAATTTTTTAATAAAATATTTTCCATTTCTAGCACACATAAAGGACACAAGTTCTTCAGTTGTTCCCGGGAGCTAGAAACTCTAGCTACGCCCCTGAAAGCCGGATATGATGAGATAAAGGCTGGAAATAAAGAGATGACAGCTAAGATCAAAGCCGGACTGAAAGAGATGAAAGCCGGCCTGGAAGAGAAGAAAGCCCTGCCAGAAGAAATAAATGTCGGCCAAGAAAAAGGTGCGAGAGCAACTCCAACAGGTGAAAAGGGAGCTTACAGAAGAAACTAGAGGCATAAAAGACGATGTGGAAATGAGAGAAGTTGCATCTGGAGAATCCAAGGATGAGGAAATGAAGGAAGTAGCTAAAGATCTGCCTGAGAAAGATCCAGAAATGATCGATGAAATACTTAAAGGGATTAAAGAAAAATAACGAAAACATGAAGAAATAAAAGACGGGAAGAAAGATTTCGATTCTCACGTGCCTGAAGTAGAGATAAAAGAAAGTGAAAATGCCACTGTGAAGTTCGTAGAAGCTGATAGTGAAGTTATGAAAACGCAGTTAGCAAGTGTTGAACCATCTGAAAGTGCATGTGGTGCAGAGATGGAAGAAGCTGATATACAGCTTAGGCAGTGCGCTCCAGTATTGCAAGAAAAGTGACCCACATTGCAAACTATGTGTGCGTCTCATAGTGCAGATTTTGTAGACGAAGACTTGATTCCAAACCCGGATACTTCTGCTCGTTAAGTATCGGATTCTATTCACGACTCAGGTGCAGACATCGGAACTGACTTTCAGGAAATATAGGCAAATAAGCATGTAGCATCTGCTAAAAATACCGAGGTGGACTGTACGCATGTTGCGAATGAATTACAGAATGGTGAACGAACTGTTTTAGATCTTCCTGTGTATGAAAAGTCTGAAAGAACTGAATCTCCAGACTGTGATATGCAAAACCGGTATACATCTGAGAATTGCAGTGAACAAGTATTTGACCCGGGTATAACTTAATAAAAAGATTGAGACTGAAATTCATTCAGAACCTTTAATTTGTATTATTTGAAATTGTAATTGCGTATAATTGGCATATTGGTAAATATTTTTTCTGTATTTATTTATTTGTTTGTGTTATTACCTTTGTTTGTATCGATTCTGCTTCTGAACCGTTTGTACTGCTCGGGACGACAGTCCTGGAGGAGCATGTTGCGAAATGTCAGGCGCAGTAATAGACTTCCCTGCAAAGCAAGTTCAGGTTGCCCTACAGTTGCAATCGACGACAAGTTCCCCATTGGCGAGAATCCCCATTCGGCACATTGGCGACAAAATTATGTCATGGACGTCAGACGATGGTTGTCCGGCGTGTTTATTGTAGCTCTTCGACGACTGTAAAGTTTTTTAAGCTGTCCTGATTAATATTGGTAATAAGTGGTTTTCGACTCCACCCAAGAATAATATACTCGTAAGAGCGTTTGCAACTTCATTCAACAAACCGTTTCACCTTAGTGTCCACGTGACTGCTGGTGGAATTCCGAGAGTCCGGAAATACTTTACATTGCATTTATATGGGACGAAAGACGCCAGCTCTGCTTGGTGACATAAAATTTAAGAAAAAATGGTTATTCGCTGCAGCGCCTACGGATGTAAAGAAAGTTTCTGAAAGGGACTTGTAACCTTTCATAGTAATTAAAACTGCATGATTTATTATTTTATTTTCAATATTTTGTCATTTAACTATCTCTGTTGAATTGGTTGGAAAGTTTCAGCCATTGTATAAGAAATTGCCGCCGTATATGACATTTCAGCATGTATTATTAGCATCAAAATGTATTAAATACTGTGACACTATTTACTATGGAATCACCCTTTACAAATAATTGAATTTTATATGTTTTTCCGTGTATTCCGTTGAAATAGAAAGCTGCGCCAATTGGCGTTAACCTTTTTTCGCCAATTCGTACGCGTTTTGATTTCATAAACAATTACTGCCTGATAAAAAAGAAAAACGCTATTATTAGCATTAAAATTATTGAGAAAGATTGTGCGATATGTTTACTTTGTTAAAAAAAAAAGCTAAAGATCTTGATTCATGCACATTGAACATAAACAGTTAACAGCATTTTAAAAAATCAGATTACTTTTATAAAGCTCAATGCTTTATCATTATTTTCTATAAAATCATTAAAATAAAAATAATCTGGATTATAATTCTGTCTCATCTACGATGCTGTTAGAAATTTATTGTAATTGAAAAAATGCGATGTGAAAAACTTACCATATTTTAAATTAAAAAAAAAAAAAAAAAAAAAAAGGAGAGTGAGAGAATTTTTAACTGTAATATCGTTTTGATCCTAATAATAAATACGAGTTGAAGTTTGTTACCGTTTGATACATATTCAATATAAAATATTTTTATAGTTAATAAGATGTATTGATCCCCCCATGACATACACATGAGTGTGGAAATCAGTAATTAAGATTGCATTTTTTGTATATAATCTCAAGAAAAGAAAGGCAATCAATGCATAAATACATATAATACAATGTGATTTTCTTTTCTCTTTAGGAGGATGCAATGCTTAAAATTAAACGAGATTTTTTTACCTCTCAAATATTATAACAGTGTGCAATTATTTTTTAACGTTATTCAATTAAGTTTCCATCTCAAGTTTTTTATTTTTTATTTTTTTCTTCCTAAATTATTTAACCTAAACATCTTAAACAATGGTGAAATAATTTAAAGCGATTATTAAAAATATAGATAAAATATTCAGGAAAAAGCATTTAGTTATATCTAAAAATAATTGTAAAAAATCGAACAATCCAATTCGAGATCGTTATCTGCCGACTGCTAGCAGACGGAAATAAAAACACTCCCTGTCATATCAAAAGCGAGCCAAACCGGCGATGAACAGCCTAAGTTATCACTGCCCAAAAGCGCCAAGACCATAGATCACGTGGTGTATGTTGCGGTTCCGCTAGCAGACGAATTCTCTGTGGGTGAGCCGTCTACCTGTTATATGAAGTCGTTGACTCCACCAAGTCTCGTAGATATTCACTCCAAATGCGCACGAACCCCGTAACGTACGAACGTGAAGGAAGAAAACAACATAACAACTGATGTCAGAAGAAAATGACGTAACAGTAAAATAAGCAGTGCTTACCTGAAAATGCAGCACTAACGAATTTTTCGGTGAACAGAAGGAATAGAACTTAAAAATTATCGTGAAAAAAACGCTATGCGAACAACAAACTTTTTGGTCAGCCTCGCTTGATAACACTAGATAAGGTAGAATGTGAATTCATTCACTACAGAATATGGTTCAATGATTTCTAAGTATCACATCAATAAAACACGCTATGAACTGTCAAGATTTTTAATAAGAAATAACTAAAATTTCAAGCTATTAGCATGAAAAAATGCTTATTTAGAAAGGTTTATTGAAACTCATAACAATGAATCGGAAGGGCCAGGTCAGCGCACAAGAACCATTAAACAAGAATCACATGAGCAAGGTTAAAAAAGATCAGGGTGAGTAAAGACTGATCAATTTCGTGCGGTCACATTAAACGTTTGCTGTTACGTGTATGTGACATCCGTGCGATATTCACATCCACATCCACATCACAACATGACATTTCTGCGACGTTGTATTGTGGTCACAAATGTAATGTGATGAAAATGTAACACTGAGATGTCACTGCAAGTAAGTGTGCTATTGCAATTATAATTTGGGAACTTTTCCTAAAAAAGGGCGGGAAGACCGCCATCTTGCACGTGATAAGTAACTTTTACCTTTTCATCTGTAAAAAATCGCCAAACTGCGCCAAAGTTAATTTCGTTAAACGTTAGTACATAAGTACCGAAAAATAATATTATTTATGGGTGAAAATAATCCCATAAAAAACTCAGAGTTCATGCTACTTCCTGGAACTGAAGATGTTTTTTCTTCGGTAAATGAAGCAGAAACAAAAATCTAATTTGAAACTGATTTATTCTTTCTTTCTCTTCATATATTTTATTTCAAATGACATAAATGTATATGTGGCAGTGTGGGAAATATATTAGCTAAAATGTCCCAAATTTTCTCAATAAAACTTATTTTACATCAATAGTATAGCAGCACAAAAGCGATACATTTCTAATCAAAGATCATTCTTTGCTATATCCAACACTTTAGCAAAGTATGGCACGTACGGGTTTGTAAAATAAGACAAAATATCTTAAACGAATATAATGTGAAATCTCCTCAAATTTGATCTACGGACAGCTTTCTTCAGTGAAAGAAACATACAGCGAGAAGAAAACTGGGAAGGTCAATCAATTAAATATAATTTCCCTTTGACCATCTGACATCTATTCGTTCTTAAAATAACATAAATGTTCCTTAGTGCATTTACTTTGTAATATACTCCTTTAAGCAAAGTCTGACACCTATACGTTCTTAAAATAACACAACTGCTCCTTAGTGAATTTACAAATTTGTGTTTAAGTCATATTAAAACTTTGCTCTACGAAAAATTCATACCGAGAAGCTTAAAATTCGGATTCTGTCATCAATCAGTTGAGAAAGCTTTCGTGCATGTAGTTTATTCTCATAACGTTCTGAGAGAAAGAAAGAAATTTCTCTGCAAACAGAAAGCACAGTTTGGTGCGCATCGTTTAGTGTTGCAACAATCCAAACATGCACGCGTGAAAAACAAAATCTTGCTGAAAGTTTGATTAAGATTCGTATCTGTGATGCTGAATGAAAAGGGTATATTTTTAGGGGCACACCGTGTGACATGAAGCATCTGCGAGTACATTTGGCAACACATAATAAAAAGTTCACTTGGATTGAGAAGTTTATGCATTGTGTTGAATGCTACTGAAAACAGTTGTATATCAAGGCCACTCAAGAAATAAATAAGGTAAAATTAATTTTTCTATTTTTAAGGCCAGTTTTAGCACGAATGGTGTCCTAGTGGTTTACTATATCCATGTAATTAATGTGATGCATATATGTTCCTCGTGCATTTGTTTTGTTGCGAAGAGATGTTTGCAATTGTTTCTTGGAGTATTGTAATCATCATTTATTAAATATAACAGTATAATGTGTATTATGAAATAGCTAAGATTCTCAACCCGTGGAAAATTGGTCACTTAAGTCACGATTACGTTGTCATACATGAAAATAGTAAATGATACGTACTGAAATCCTGTCTGAAAAAAGCTGCGTGGAAAGCAAAGTGATGTATAAATTTTGCAGATTTCTGAAATTCTTCTAATGCATTTTGTTGACTGTTAGAAGTTACATGCGGATCTTGACTGCATCTTGCACGTTAGTTCATTTTTTTAAGAATGTGCTTTAAAAGTGGAATTGTTTCATTTGCAGTTTTCTCTTTGCAAAATCCTCTGTATTTTGACCTCTGTGAATAGAATTTGTAATTTATTAAACTGATATGCTTTGCTTCATATTATTTAATAATGTGTAGGCATAATTAATGATGGGTGAAAAATGATATAAAAATAAGGTGCATAAAATTTACTTTAAACTGTATTGAATTATCTGTTTCATGAGGAGAAATGGACAGAAACTCTTCAGGTATAAATTTCACATACCTGATAGGGTGTATTTCATATATCTTTGGAAAAAATTAAGCAAAGCAATAATTTAGGCCTCATACGAATTGATATCTTTTCACTTTGGGGTAATGCTCTGTAAATTTCTTTAAAATATGCATATTTTTGTGCTTAATGGGGGGGGGAGATCACTTTTGTTTGTTTAAATAACATCTTCGTTTTTTAATTGTTTAAAAAACTTCATTTTTGTAAGGAATTAAAAAATGAAGACCATTATTTCTAAGGCTTTGTGGGTTATTCTCAGAAGTTGAAAAATGTGATTTTTCTCAACTGTGTTAAGTTTTTATAAATATTGTTATTCCCTGACATTTATAACTAAATTGAAGTTGTTATTAGTGTAACAAACATGTTTTAATTTATTAACTTATATTTGAGACAGTCTGATAGTTCTTCGGTGCAAATTCGAAAATTGCATAATAATTATCTTTAGAAATGTAATTTACTTTCCTGCCTTATTTATTTTTTAATAGTAGGAAATTATGCATGTAATTTTTAGTTCATGTAAAAGGAAAATGTATATTTAAAGTGTTAAAAAAATTGTTATAGATTAAGAGAAACACGTCAAAGTAAAACATAAGATTAGCAAAAGCAACAACTATGTTTTTGGTGTAGAGTTTAGGCAAGACTGTTGATTTCAAGGGAAAACTGGTACAGGTCCCTCTTCATTAGGAGCCAAGAAATCTGCTCCTAATCCTGCTGAAATTACGGCTTATATAAGTGCTGCTCTGAAGTTACGAAGTAATTATAGGGCTGAACATTTCAATGTATTTATATACATTTCAATATGAAATGACTATTTTCTTATAATGATTTCTGTGATGTTTGAAAATAGGGGAAAAAAATTAGTGTTGTCTTAAATATTAGGCAGAATCACTGAAATTTGAATTTGCTCTAGTATTTGATGTTTTTCAGAATAATATAATCCATTATATGTTGATGTTCAAAGTTAATGGGTAATCTTGCTCACAGAGTAAAATTTTCAGTATAATTATTTATGGTAATTATGGTTAATCTTTGGATTATGGTAACTTGGCGATTTTTTGGCAAAAATTTGGCGACCAACCCTGCTACAGCAACCTGCTAGTTTTTGTTTGGACGTCATTTTGTTTTCACGAAGTAAAGGCATGTTTTTTTTACTCAACATTTTTTCCCAACAATCTGCTAACCGAATTATGCTTATGTTAGAACTTTATGAAAAAAGTGCTTATCATGATAAGATTGTCGAAATTGGACAAAGTGCAGAATCGCCCACTGCTTGCCGCGTTTTTACGAATTGCACATCACGGTATCATCCATGTACACGTCGACCTATTTTTCACTTAAAAAAAATCCCAGAATTGCACAAAAACAAAAAGGCATTGCGCACACTCTTGACTATATCCATGTACACTGCTAAAGTCCTAGCTAGTAACCTTTATCGCCTTACCAAAATGTCGCCAAACTACCTGTTACCATATTCCAAAGATTAGCCGTAATTATTTGTAACTGAAAGCAGTATTTTGCTTTTGGTAGATTAGCTCATGGAATATAGAAATTGGGCAATTGATTACATTTTGCATAATGGATGTAGGAATTTGGATGTGTACTGTTGGTTAATGTAGTTTCTGAGAGTAAGTCTAGTGAGTGTAGTTTCCAAGATTTTCTGAGAGTAATGTACTTTCTGAGAATTCATTAGTTATGACTCAAAGGCATCACTTAAATGAATGGCAAACATGACTGTTAATTGGTGGATTCTTGGGAGGGCAGGGGCTGACACAAGTGGTAGAGGTCACCCAAGGTGTGAATATTCCTCAGAATGCCATGTCAAGAACTTTCAACTGCTTTTTAAACTGTTAATGTATTAGTAGACAGCTTGGTCAAGAGCAACACTTGCATTTAAAGACCATATTCTGTTACGAGCTTAAAGGAAGCATGAAGTAATTATGAGAGTTTGTTTTTAAACCTTCCTACTGCCATGGGAATTCGAGTCAGTAATTCTACTGCTGCATGAAGCCTTCATGATGTTATACTTTGTAGGAGAAAACAATTATGTCCCACTCACTTCATATTCTAAAGGGACACCTTTAACCGCTTCTCTTACAAATGTTTTTGAAAAACATTGCAAAAAATCATCACAATTTTTAAATTTTATTATTAAATACAAGGAAATGAAACAAATCAAAATATGTAGGTTTTAAGTTGACTTTTAATTTTTTACAGGTGTAAAAGCAAAAAGTTAAATATAAGTCTTTGAAACAAGGGACAACACAAGTATCACTGATAGTCTGTTCACTGGTATCTGGTACTGGCTTAACTCTGGAATCTCTTTTACGGAAGAACAGAATAGACTGTCTCGTTTTTGATTTATTTTCGATAGCAGGAATAACATCTGCAAAATGTCCACCTCTTCTTAATCACTATCTAAAAAATCATCGCTTTTGCTATCTTGCATCATGACCATTATTTTACTTTTTTTTTTCCTATGCAACTGTCCTTCTTTATGCGTTACTAATCCACAAGCCAATGTATACTATACAAGAGGGAAAACACATGACCAGTCGCTCCAAAAGAACCGTGAAACCAACAAAACTTGGTAAACTGCCAATCAAAGCTGAATATTTCCTTTCATTTCCTCCCAGGCCGAGTAAAACCGTGATAAAACAAATCATACTGATCAATTCTGCTTCACCCGAGTTTTCTCGGGATAATATATAACTGCAATATATGCGAACCCGAGATAACTCGGGATAATCAGGCAAGCGGTTAAGCTACAGTGGCTCCCAAAAGTGCTCGTACATTTTAAGAATTTGTAGGAAAAGGGTTGTAGCCTGAAACTAAATTTGAATATAAAGTTCAATATTTTCTGATATCATCTCCATATGATTTTGACTAAAACTAAACTTTGTTTTTAGTATTGACGTATTTTCTTTTTCTAAAATTGAAAAATGTAAGGAGGCATAGATAAAACATGGCACAAAAGCTATCGTAGACCAAAACGTTTTCGTAAAATTTCGTAAATAAAATTATCATCTGCCACTTTTATTTTTGCATTTTGATGATGTTTAAAAATTCATTTTGGTTTAATTCTTTGCATGCTTATTTCATTATATTTTATTTAATATTTAAAAATAAGTCGTAGTTGTAAGGAAGCAACAAATATCATTTGAAAATTTATGATCTTTCGTCTTAAGGGTGGAAAATCGACCCCAGATATCATTAAATTAGTAAATTTATCCCATTCTCTGGTGCAGTATGTGATAAAATGCTTTAAAGAAGAAAACTGGATCGAAAAGAAAGTGAGAAGAGGTCATCTGCCAAAGTTAACGTGATCAAAGATTCATAGTTAGAAAGTTTGTGAAAAACCCACATTTGAGTGCTGTAAAGAGAAAATGAGGAATTTAGCCCCAAGAACTTTACTGGAACAGTAAAGGATGGCAGTGGAAGTGTTCTTGTGTGAGGGTGCATATCAGAATCAGGATTAGGTAATTTAGTACTTACGGATGACATAATGAACTGTGCTCTTTATTTAAACATGTTAAAAGATAATTTAAAATTATCCACCCAAAATTTGGCTATTTGGAAACAACTTTATTTTTTTACCAGGATAACAATCCTAAACACATGGCCCTCAGCATTCAACTTGGGCATGTCTATAATTGTTCATAAATTCTGGGTACTTTTCCGTTTTGCTGGCGCAGGTGATAAAGTCGCCAATAATGGTACAGTGGATGCCAAAAAGAATATGCTGGATGGTAACCTTTTATGCCTCATTTTCCAAACAAGTCGCAGCCATTTCTTATCAGATTGATTGTTTCTTTCGTTACTGGCATACAATTACATAACATTTTTACCACATAGTTCAATTTTATATCTAAGACCATTCAGGGTAATTAAGTCAATTAATATGCAATCACAGCGCTTACCCGAAGCCGAAAATATAGAAAAGGCAAAGTCAAGTGTTAAATTCATCAATTCTAATGAGAATGCATTAGTGAAGTAAAGCACTGCAGTTTTACATAATTTCTGAGTAAGCTATTCGTACAAATTGAAATAATTCTTGCATTTAAACTTGTATTTCAAATTAAAATTTAACTTGAAATTAATTTAGATAATTACTGAGTGAATTAAATTTTTGTAGCGTAGTTTACGCGAGATGAAATCACTTCAGGTCACGTGATGTGAACCGGCGAATCAGGATATTGAACCATGAAAGCATAGCAAATTCTTAAATTAATGTGTCTTTTTACAAATTGTCTTTATTTATTAGCTTTTTACAAAATTTTAAACGATATTAAAATGTTTATGCCTTCAAAATAAAAAATTCTTAGAGCTAACATTTTAAAAATATTTTTTATGTGTATACTGTATGTTGTCGCCAATAAAGTCTGCTTAGCGAGATTTGTGCCGGCGAAACGGAAAAATACCAAATTCAGAAAACACCGCCTCAGACGCTAGATTAAAACCCAGAAGAGTGCATATGGAGAGAATTAGAGGTCAGAGTAAGACAACAAAACATAAAAACGAAAACTGAACTAAGAAACAGGAATGATGGAAGAATGCAGGATCATTGATGCAGATATTACCCTCCTTTCCCCAGAAATATAGTTTACTCTATGTCCAAATATTTGAAAGCTGTCATATGTGCTGCAGGATATCCTACAGAATACTAGCAGAAATACTACAACATTTACTAATAATTATGTGCAGATTTCTTTTAAGAGTACGGCGATTTTTGCGAGGTAACTTGCTTTTTGATTTTCGAAATAAATAAATAAATAAATAAAGTTTTACTGTGTTTATAAAGTAACTAATATATTTTTCCCAAGAGAAATTTTCAGATAATATTAAAAAATTCTCATTCTCAAATATTAATTTTTATTAATGAATAAAACAGTATTTAACTGAAGTGTACAAATACTTTGGGAGACACTGTAAAAATGGTGTCATTATGTTCAGTGGATCTGAGATGAGTGGTTCAGATATAGCCTAAATTGTTGCTATTAACATGTTTGGATCTAAAGGGAGAAAGAAACATGCCACTAGCTTTCCCCTCTTCATGAAAGATTATGTTTAAAGAAATTTCATAGTTTCGGATGATTATCTCCATGTAATTCAATGTTTTGAGAATTATCATCTGGCAAAATTGGTAATTTGTGTTAAATGTTCAATAATATGTTACGCGATAAAAAATTTATTTTTAATCATTTTTCACTAAGATTTAAGTTTCATTTCTCTCAGTATCCTTTAATTTTATTAAGCAGGTCTATATAATAAATTTTATTATAAAATAAAAAATACTAATGGGTCTTCATTGCTAAAGTGAAAAATAGCAAATCAAATTAATTTATCTAAAAAAAACAAATCAAAATCTGAAAAAAAATAACTACAAGTGGTAGATCTCACACTACATGATTACCAATTTATTAATTAAATAAAAGGATAAGAACTGCAGATTGTTTTTATTTTATTAAAATATATAAAGATCAGATAAAATTAAAGCTTCTTGTCAGTTTTTCAAATGTATGTTAGTGATTTCTAATTTAATTTAGATTAAAAAATATATATCTCAAAAAATTAAAAAAAAAATCAGTTTATGTTTAATGGGTTAAATATATTAATGAAAATAGGAAGTTAAAATTAGATATTATAACTTAATATCTAAACAATGAAATTAAGTCTTACAACTTGATTTATTTCCATTTCTTCTGCTGTTAAACAAAAATTATAAAATTCAGGAAACTTTACATGAAGTTTTTTTGAGTCTGAAAGGGTTATTAATCTCCAACCTGACCTTTTTCATCAAATCACTTTTGATCTCTGCATCACTTTTCAAATAAACAGATGCCATGATATTGATTAACCTTAGAGGGAAAATGTGTGAGAATACATAGAAGATTTTACTCAAATGGGTTAGCAAGCTTACTCATCAGACTTGATCCTTATTGAGTATGTGTAGTGTGGCTTAGGCTGCTGAGTTGCAGCATGCCAAATGCCTGCCCAGACCCTTGGAGATCTGAAAAATATACTTTTAGAAGAGTGACATGCAGACTTGATCAGCAGTTTAACACATTCTCTATATCGAGATGTGAGGTTTGTGTTTCAGACATAATCTTGTAACATTCTAAAGAAAGATTTCTTGCAATACAGAGATAATTATTTTATCATTTTAAAATTATCATGAATTTTTCTTTAAATTCAATGTTTTGAGAATAAACATCTGGCAAACATGGTAATTTGTGTTAAATGTTAAATAGTATGTTAAGTGAAAAAAAATTTATTTTTAGTGATTTTTCACTAAGAGTTAATTTTTATTTCTCTCAGTGCAGTACAAAGTCTTTAATCCGCACTCGTCAGGACTTCGGCGATTCCGGATTAGAGGTTTTTCCGGATAATAGATCAACAATTTAAATCTATAAGATGGCATGCAGAAATTATAAAATTAAAAATATGAAACCGTAATTTATGAAATAAAGAGCAATTATGATCTAAAGGGTATAAAAATTTACAAAAAAAAAAAAAAAAAAAAAAAAAAAAAAAAAAAAAAGCTTAATATTTATTTGTGTACTTTATTAAACATTTCTTTCAATGTACGTTGTTTAAGTTGCTTCGTTTTATATGCTAATACTTTCTCTTTAATTCTATAAACAGACATGATTTCTTGTTCAGTTACAAAGTTCCGCTGTTAAAGTCCTGTAATTGCTGTGCCGAGAATACCGACTAACTTGTCAATCGAAATTTTTTTTGTTTTTACTAACCTCTCTGTCACTTTCTTCATGTTTTTATACATTTTTTGCAGCAATTCCACTTTTTGTTTGATGGAAATCGAAAAATGCTTTCGCTTTTTAGATCCTTTGGCAGCTCCAGAATCGGAAACTCTTTTTGATATAGTCAAAAGTTCAAGCTTACATTTTATAAAATTGCTCTAACACTCTGCAAAAAATAATAAGCCGGATCCAGTTAGAAGATTAAGGAACAACACAGTCTGCAACATTAACTGAAATAGATAATTAGATAATTTTAGTCTAGCTTATACCGGCAGTTACACATTAAGCATGCATGCGTAAAGGTATTATGCTTTCAAAATCGTAAAAACAACCTTGTATTTAGCGTAAGTATAATGAAACACTCAATCGATTTCGAGGGCAGTTAAAGGTCCCTCCTCATCAGGAGAAAGAAATACCTAGAAAGAAGAAAAAAAAGGAGAAGGAGTCTCAGAAACACGGGGTTCTTATCAGCACTGCACGTGGTTATAACTGGATTTTTAACCAGAGTTGCACTGGCCGCCTACTTTTACTGAGCCAGGCTATCTGATCAAGCATAAAGGACAAGAAAAATTAGAGAAGTTAAAATAGGGAGCGAGGGGCAAATGCACCTTCATGCTCAAAATCTGAACTTCAAATAATGGAAAGCAACCACTGAACGGATTTTTATACTTATGTTTCATTATACTTACGCTAAATACAAGGTTGTTTTTACGATTTTGATTGTCACATTAGCGTGTTTCTCTTCTAGTCTAGTATTATGCTTTGTTTGGAAAATTTCGAATTGCAAAGGAAAGTTTGTAGCTTTGAGGTCCGGATTATGGACATCCGGATTAAAGACTTTGTACTGTATCCTTTAATTTTGTTAAGCAGGTGCTCTAAGTCAATCATACTGGTCTCCCAGAGCTTAGTGAAGTGCTTTTCAGAATATCAACATGATCAGAAGTTTGGTAGCTTTTGAAGTAACGAACTAAAATTTTTAATTTCATTATGTGGGGGAATAGAGAAGTAAATAAAAATAATAGTTCAGCAAGAGTGAATATACAAAGCAGATTGATCAACTGTTACATTAGTGATAGCCCTTTTCAGATTTTTATTATTTTCTCTCTTATAGCATTTGTAGCACTTTATAATTACTTTCACAAACATAAGTATTGCAAAACTATATAATTATTAATTGATTATTTTGTCATTTGTGTTGATTTTGAAACATTATGCATTGAATTAGACAATTATTTAAGTAAAAGTTATTCTTAATAGTTTCTTTGTGCATTAAGTTTTATACTCTTAGATTAAAGTTGTTTTGAGCTATTTATGCACACGCATATATATATATATATATATATAATATACACATTTTTTTTTTTTTTTTTTCTCAGTGAGCTGCACTTATGAACAGAAGAGCAGACATGCAGTCACTTCATATTTTGAATCATTCAAAATGTATGCTGGCAGCATTTCATAACCTTAGACAAGATGAATCAATGCTTGATGTTACATTAGCATGTCAAGGCTTGAACTTAAAAGCACATAAGTTAATCCTTTCAGCTTGTAGCCCATTTTTTAAAAGTCTGTTAGAAAGTAATCCTTGCAAACATCCTATTATTATATTAAAGGATGTTGAATTTGTGGACTTAAAAGCTGTAATAGATTTCCTATATAAAGGAGAACTCTCTGTTCCACGAGAGAGACTGATTCCAACATTGAAAGTGGCTGAAGATTTGCAGATAAGAGGATTAACACGTCATGAATCAAATAAAGTTGACTATGAAAAATTATATCAGAAAGTACATGAAAGGCAGTCTGGAAGAAAAAGGCGGAAAAAATATCATAAGTGTTCATCTGACTCTGAAGGCCAAGATTATTCAAATAATTCCGACTCTGATGAGATAATTTCACAGTCAGATGATAGTGAGATTAAAACTTTAGAGAAAACTGAAGCTAATTTATCCCCATCTTGTCTGAAAGATCAGGGAAGCCATGATGAGTCATCTGATGAAGCAGATGAATCCAGGCCTGTTGTTTTACGTGTTACAGAACCAGCTGATGATGAAGCCTTAAATGTTAACAAAGATGATATGGACATTGAAAATATATCAGATCAACCCTTCACTACTTTTCAAAATCACGAATCGGATGAGAATGATAGTAATCAAAATGACATAAATGCTGATGAAGAAATTCATGTAAGTTCAATATAATTGTATTTATTGGATATATTTTTAATTCCCATTTGAGTGTTTTTATCTCATAGCTGATTGTTTGGTACTTGCATATTATCGCAACCACCTTGGTAGAAATTGTTATAAGGTTCAGAATGTAATGAACTGCAGCAACCGTACGAGTGATAATTCTTCATTTTCTAACAACTTTAGTTTTTTTTTTTTTTTTTTTTTTTTAATTCCAAATTTCAACAGTTTTTATAGACAAATAGAGATATTTTTTGAATGCCACAAAATTTGTTCCTGTGCAAAACAAACAAAATCCCTCTTTTAAGTAGGTTTATTGATTGCCTTTTTGTTTTAAATACTTAACTTAAAACGTAAAGTACTTTTGTAATAATATTTTTGTATGTAATAAATAAATTTTTATAATTACAAGTCGTCAGTTTCTTTCTCCTGTAAACTTGGCAAATTGTGCCAATGTGGTTGCACGGTAATAATTACATAAGTATCAATAATTTTATGTGTATATCAAATGTGTTTTTATTTACATTTTGCATATATAGTTGAATTTTTTTTACCCAATATATTTGTTCTTTTACTACATAGATTTTCATAATGCATTTAAAAATTGATATGTATAGGATATTTATTAATCTGGAAAGTCAAAAAGAGGAAAAATGGCCAAGAAAAACATAATTTTTATTCAACAAATTGGGGGAAATTTGAAACTTCTTTCCAAAAAATGTCTAGGAAGGAAAAAGTACAGGTTTAACCCTCTAAAATAATAAAAGTTAATGTTTTAAATGGCAGCCAAAAAAAAAAAAATTTTTTTTTTTTCTCTAGGAAGAAAGGAAATCAGGAGTTACTGTATTTCATCCTACCCATTCCTTCCCTTGCATATTTTGCCATAACCAAATAAATCAAATCAACCTTCATAGTATATTCCTTTTGTTTCACTGTGAATGAGATGAAATAATTTTTTTCTAATGCCTTCAGTTACTTCATTCTGTTTTTCAAAAATGCATAAAATTGTTATTCACAGTTAATTTGATAATTAGTTTAATATGTTTTCTCTTGAAGATTGTTCAATTTAGTTTTGGAAAATAAGGAATTTCAGAGAATGGAAACCCTGTATTTACCATTAAATTACCATATTTGTCGGCGTATAAGACACCTCCTTTTTTATACACATTTTTGAAGGACAAAACTTTATTACTGATCATTATAATGAATTTACAGTATTTTAAATATAAAGTAATACAAATACAAAGTAGTACTTTATGCAAATACTCAATATATCTGGGAAAGAACACCTTTTAATCTCCTTTGTTAAAACCGAGACACTCATCTCCAGAGCTAAATGAAAAGTCACTCGAAACCTCTTCTAAATCAACATCTGAGTCCTCATACAACAAATTGTCCTCTGTACCATCCAGTGCATTGCTAATGCCACACTTTGTAAATGATTTAACATCTTTGTTTTCACAGTATCTCATGAAACTTTGACCCATTCACAAATGACATATCGACGTATAAGATGCACCCCATTATTCAGACCTATTTTCAAATAAAAAAAAGTTTGTCATATACGCTACAAATATGGTACTACAAAGTCCGAAATTCGGATTTGGCGATTCCGAATCATCAGTTTAAATCTAGTAAGATGGCATCTAGAAATTATAAAATTAAAAATATAAAATTGTAATTTATGAAATAATGAAGTATTTATGATCTAAAGGGTATCAAAATTTACAAACAAAATTTTAATATTTATTTGTTTGCCGTATTAAACATTTCTTTTAATGTAACAGGGTTCGTACGGTCCTTAAGAGTTCTTAATCTATTTTTGGTCCTTAAAAGTCCTTAATTTTGGCCAAAATCAGTAGAAGGTCCTTAATTTTAATCATCTGAAATTTCTGTCTGTTTTTACGGCTGCCATTTTGAGTGTGAATTAGCATTTTGGAGGAATATTTTTGGCGATTCACTGACGTATATGGTTATCTTTTCATGGGTTATAATTTGTTTCTATTTTTAATACAAACGACGGGATACTCGAGTTTCTAAGCAAGAAGTGAAACATAAGCATTTTGAAATTCATTTATTGTAATAAAGAGCTCCTAAACAATTTTCGCTTTTGGGAATGTGAATTCTTTTATTAAACTGTTCTAAATTTGGCAACTTGTCAACATTTTGCCGATTTTAAGACCAGTTTGTATAGAGAATTTTTAATTCCGAAATCAGAAATTTTCGACGATTTTTTTTAAACATCATAATTTTGATAATTAAAATAAAACATTTTTATTTTCTGCTGTCATATTATAAAGTTTTATTTTGGCAACTTATTATACAATATTTTGAATCGGAAAAATAAACAAGGTATAATGCTATAAAGGTATAATTTACGAAACAACTCGGTTGATCTTTGGATTATGGTAACTTGGCGATTTTTTACCGAAACTTTGGCGACCAACTCTGCTACAGCAACCCTCTTTTTTTTTTTCGCCGCCATTTGATCTTCACGAAGTACAGACACGTTTCCTTTCTTTTTATTTACTGAACACTTTTTCCAACAATCTACTAGCCGAATTACACTTATGCTAGAAATTTTATGTAACAAAACTGCTTAATCATGACAAATATTTACTGCAAAATTGGGAAAAAGTGCACAATCGCAAACTCCTTGCGCGTTTTTCAGAATAGCGCATACACATAAACCATTTACACGTCGACTTATTTTTACTTAAAAAAACATCCCAAAATTGCACAAAAATGGCATTGCACACACTCTTAACTTTATCCATCTACCCTGCTATTTTCTCATAAATTACAAAAATTTGCACGAAAATGCAAAAAAATTCTGTGAATCTTTAAACTCGGTAAAAAGCACATATATGAAATTACCTTATCGTGAAAAAGTATATATACCCTTTCCAAGGATGAACATTTCCACGTATAAAATAAATAAAATATCCAAAAACTTTTACCTCTAAATTATCTATTATATTATAAACGTCACCAACAAATTCATACCGCAAACGTTACAAATGGTTACAAATACTTAGTGTCAAATATTTAAATTATTTCCATACACGGTTACTTCAACTGAAACGTATACCAAATTCCTACAAACATAAAATTCACAAAATATAACTATCATTTAATTAAAATATCACTAAACCATGTACACGTCGACTTATTTTTACTTAAAAAAACATCCCAGAATTGCACAAAATTGGCATTGCGCACTCTCTTCACTATATCCATGTACACTGCTTTTTTCTCATAAATCAGAAAAATTTCACGAAAATGCATGAAAAGACTCAATGTATTCTACTCAAACGTATTCCAAAATACTACAAACATATAACTCACAAAATCACGATCATTAAATTAAAATATAATTAAATTAAAAAACACTACTTAAAATATAAATAAGCACATACATTAAATTAATAAAAATTAGATTACAATCCTAATTACTTTAAACTAAATCATTGCTAATAACAATTTTCCAATAATATCATATTAATTTTAATTTATTTACTCCTTACATTTAGAACAATGCATAAAATAATAAATCCTCAAATGATTAAAAATACTAACTTACCTAATCTTCAGAATCTTCATTACGTGGCACGCACACTTCCACTATTTCACACAACACACAATGAAGCTTAATACAAAATAATATAGTACTACAGTTTTCCAAATTCCCCCCCCCCCTTTTCCGATTAAAGAACTGCAATTCGTCCATTAATGTCACATGACATATCTCATGATCTCTCATTTTCCTCACACAAAATAATGCGTAATCGGAACTAAGTACTTCTCACATTATTACCAAAGTCCTAGGTAGTAATCTTTATCGCCTCCAAAATGTCGCCAAACTACCAGTTACCATATTCCAAAGATCAGCCAACAACTCTTAGCAAAAGCTAAATTCTATGTAATTAATTAAAAATATCTTCTTTTTAATTTTTTCATAGTAAGCGTTTTTCCCATGTAATTGTTTCTTAATATTCAAAATTCTCAGAATATGCACCAGTTTCATCTATAAAAGTAATTTTACATTTTCCCCTTCTTTTTTTTTTTTGCAAAATATTTCTGGCTTTTTGCTGTTACAGAACTGGTTGGGATAATTTTTCTTTAGTATTTTTGACAGTGCAACTTGGAAAATTTAGAAGGATTTGAAAACAAGATTTATAGACCCATGATTCTAGAAGATTCGAGAAATATGTGACAAAGTGAAAAATGTCTCCATGGTATCAACACGTAATGGATGTATTTTACAGAATGTTTGCGATGAATTTCTTACTTTTTGGAGAACGTCTGGAAGAACAATGAAGACATGAATAATATTTGAGTGTCTTATTCCTGATACTAGAATCTTTTTCTTAACATGTTTATCTTCCCTTTATTTTGTCTACTTTTCACTAGACACAAGCATGTAAAATATCAAAAATGCTTCTAATCGTATCACTTGGGCAGGCATTATAGAAAAGGATTTTTTTATTAATAAAAAAATTGAAAACTTACAATTTAAAAGATCCATCTAATATGTTTTAATGCATCACACACAGAGCTATGCATCATACACATTTTCCCATTTGTTGCAATCTCTGTGGATCCTAAATTCGACTGCATAGTGCCTTTCTAAATTTTGCTTCCAATGCCTGTCTAAATTCTAAAAGTTTTGCCATTTCTAGATTTTGTTGTTTGGTGTGTCGCTAAATTCTAAAAATTCTGCCACATCAGCTCTGTAACCGGCCTTTACCATATATATATTTAATATTTCTTCTGAATTCCATATTACTAAAGAAATTAAATAATTCACTTTTTCTATACATTCTAAATGCATTTAGTGATTTAAAAAAAACAGAAGTCCTTAATTAAATCCAAAAATTCTAAAATAAAAAAGAAACATGCTGAAGAAAGAAACTGTCAACATTTTGCAACTTGTAATAAGTAGTACATAAAGAAAATTATTCTTCAAAGATATGTGCAGTTTTTATTATGTAAAT